CATGACCAGCAAACTTTGACAACAAGCATGAAGAGTTTGATAGAGTATATTGAAAACTAATTAAAAGGTAAATGTAGAAGACCACACCTCCAGAGTAAACAATAATCACCTACTGTTTCTATAACTAATGTCTATATTACCTGATAGAATATTGATGGTGTATAACCAACAGGTGAGACAGACACGCTTAGAAATATTACAAAAATTCTGAAATTCACTAGACTACAGAAATTCTTTTAATAGTTTTCTTTTACTAGGCCTGACGACATTTCTATTATGCATGGAGTTTGGGGTAAGTCTGGTATGGAGTTGGAATAATGAAAAACATTTTATGGATAATTGGAATGGTGTAAATAGATAATATAAGCATCCCAATACACATAATAAGGTTAGAAAACCTCCTTTAACAGCAGTCAGAAATGGAAGTTTTATTGTTTTTTCAAGGGAATAATTTGATGACTCTGTATTTTTAATGATTTTAATTTGGAAACATATACAGATGCTATATTTCTATCTGTGATTCACTCAAATAAGAAAAAAATACATCATTTATTTTAGTGATTTCCTGAATGTTGCGTTGTTGATCATTATCTAACAATAAATACAATCAATTTTATATAATAACATGTTAGACATAAAAAAAGAGGAAGTCTCAAAAAGTGTCATAGAAAAAAGAAAAATCTATAAACTAACACACTAAAGTCTGTTAAAAATGAGTACGTGGATAAATCTAGTTCAAATTAAAATTTAGTTCATAAAAATCAGTTTATTATCCTGTTCAAACTCAATTTATTTTTCTTAAACTAATAAACCAATATTTAAAAATTGGGTGACCAATATTTAGCTTTACAATCGATAAAAGGTCATCTTCATTAGTACAAATCCATTGCAGAAAGGTAGGTTCATTTCCAGTGCACACAAGAAAGCAGATTATTCTTTTAAAAAATATCAGGCCCTGTAGGTTATTTCAAGAATTGGCCAGTGTTACCCTCATCCCTTCATATATAACAAAAGAAGATCTTAGAAATTTTTGCTCAATTGTAGAAATTTGTTCTGAATTTCTGAATATTACAGCTTCTATTTAAAGTGCACCCATTTTTGCTGCTGTACTGTTGTTTTATACTGCAGTCCTGATGTTACTGAACTGAAGGTTTTTGAACCAGAAGTTTCTTAACATGTAAATCTGTGTGTTTTAAACATGTTAATATTTAATATTTGATATTGGCCAGAGAAAGAAGATACAGTCAACAGTCCGCATTTTTACCATCAATTTTCATGAAGTTCTTTAAATAGACAATTTTTATTTCAAGTCCATTCAAATTTACTTGTTAAAAACTTCACAAATTTCACAAATCTTTGCATAGGTTGAAAAAGTGATTGAATTTGTTTGAAGGCTGTTTACCGAACATAATACATAAATTTGGGCAGAAATAAGAGGTCATTATGCAAAATTAAAATGTTTATTAAAATCCCTTTTGGATAAGTCTGCTTTATAAGATTAAATTTTTTTATTTTTAACCAAACCTTTATATCTGTATAACCATCAAAGCAAGCTAATCAGTCAGTTTCCAGATTGTTTGATCAACTCCTCTTTGATGTCTTGATCACCCAGACTTCTGAAGTTCACAGGAATAAAAGGAAATTTAAAATCTGAGGAGCAACAAATAGATTATAATTAATGCCCTTGACACACAATCTCCACGGCATGTTAATTCAGTAGAAAAATGGCCTCATTGTTTTAAGATATTGACCAATCTGTTCTCTTTAAAAAATTTCACTTTGACTCGTGTGAAAAATTTTGACTTCTGATGGGAGAATGTCAAATATCTTCAGCTTGATTTTGAAATTTTGTTTACTCAAAAATTTGACCTTTGACATAGAATTAATTTGAGTAGATACAGATTATTTTTGATGAATTTATGTGACTTCGTATTCTACTATTCTCAGATCAGATGATTTGACACCTTTTTGTCCATGATAAATATTCTGCGGATTTAAATTTTCTTTTTTTAAATCTTGTTTTGTATTTTAAATTTTTTTTTGTATTTTGGTTTCTTGTTAATTCTTTTGTATGCCCTAAGGATGCCTTTAACAAATGCATATGGACTAAATATTTTGTTCCTTTCTTCGACTAAGAGCTCAATTGAGGTTTAGTTTAGGAATCATGTTGAACTGATAATAGAAACTTGAAACTTACACAGCTCTCATAAAATACTTTCGAATGGTGTCATACAGCTGAATTTCAGCTTAAAAAACTAATTTTGGTAGAACAACAAACAATACCATTTTCAAATATTACAGATAGTAATCTTTATTGTAAAAAATTTAAAAGGATATGCCATAAAATGAACATATATTAATACATGAATAATACACTTCAAATAGACAAAAGCTACCTTCTTTAAAACTATAATCCTCAACTCATAAAATTTTTATAAGAAAGGGAAACTTTATCTTCACAATAAAAAGGACTTAAAATTTGAATTTTTGATATATTTCATATTTGCTTATGAAATTTTAAAACGTATTGACTTAATGTAGGGCCATTATTTCAGTCAGGTTTCCTCTGTGATTAAATAAAGTGCATGAATCAGAGAAATTTGAGATTTGTTTGTGGAAGGGTTGATATGAAAATAAGACAAACATGTGATAAAATGCTAATGTTTGGTTTATTGACAGAAAAATGACACAGAACAAACTTTCCTTTATTTAATACACACCTTTTGAGATAGGAGACATTTCCTTAAGAGTTTTACTTTCAATGAGTAATCTGCATTAATTTAAAGTGTAAAAACTTACTGAAAACTCTGTTGTTATCGTTTGTCGTTCCTCAACAATACTTCAACAGACCGGTCCATAAATTTAATGATATTTCCTTAATTGTTTCAGGTGTTTTAAGGGGAAGATTCCCTTTTCTGTAGTTTTGACTTTTTCCATCAAAACTACACTGTAATTAATCAAAAAAATCAACCATGCACTAAAGTTTCTTTCAGATAAGCAAAAAACTGTTATAAAAAATTAAATTTACAGTGAACCACATCCTAGAGGGTGCAGTTTATTTGGTTTATTTATCTTGATCTAAAATTCACAAGTTTGATTGAAATGTTTGGTTTAGAATTTAAATGTAAACTTAACTTTTTAACAAAATTTACTGTTTAATGTGAAAAAAGAGACACAAAATAACTCTTTGCCAGTATCTGGTATGTTACTTTTGACATCCTTAAGCACTAGTGAACAATATTTGATTGTAAGAAGAGAGAAAGGAACAATTTTGTTTACAAGGAAAAGAGCTTAGGTTTCTGTCTGCCATTTTTCTTCTGTTGACTTGAATTATGAGGAAAGATGATGTAATCAAGGTCACCAGTTTTTTGGGAAAATATGATACAGCAATGATTGCTCTTAAATACAACACACATCAATAATTTATTAACTTTCAGCCAACAAATTTAATAAGTGTTATCTGCGGAAGTCTTTCTATTATAAACAGTTTACAATAATTTCCCAGATTTATCACGTCCATGAGAAAAAGGTGAGCGAGAAAAAGTGACTGATTTTGCCGACAATTCAAAACAACATACTAGATCACAACAACCAATCAAATCAATAACATAGATGAAAAGATATCGAGGGTATATCACAAATTATGTCGAGCGAATCTCAGAGATAAAATCTGGATTCAGACCACCACTATCAATATATCATCAATGATATCATCTGGACCTAGGCTACAATTTTCACTGTATGAACAGTGATTATAGCCCTTATCAATACGGATACAGGCCACAATTAATTCTTTATCAGATCTCAGCTCAGTTGATCGTGACTATTGATAGGTCTACATTATTTATTTGACTCGCATGATTTCATCAACCAAAATTACTTCAAAAAGTAAATACAATTATCTGCCCATTTTCATCTGAATATTCACAACAAATGTCTTTTCATCGTGTTTGTTGGTTTCTTAATTAAGTTGAATAATTAATTAGATTATATTCATTAGTGGACAACAAAAATCAAAATGGCTAGACTAATTATTGAATCAAATTTTAATGTGGAAAGTTTATTGGCTTTGTCTCGCGTAATCATTAAAAAGTTCAAGTAAAATTTAATTAATTTTGACATTTTTTCTAAATTAGTATGTTCTATAGATGAAAGTTAAAACTTTTGACCAAATTGCTACCAAATGCAGATATATTTCCATTTTTTCAAACTTAAATCACAAAGCTTTCAGAAGCTAGGATCTTCTTCAAAGAGTGCAAGATCTGAAAACATACAAGAAGTATTCTGCAGAACATAGTGAGAAAGTCTTAAAAGATATAGTCTGAGCACTGAAACCACTTGTTTAAGTTCAAAGAAATGCATGATCAAAGTGATCAATTTGTAAAAAAACAGTGATTATTCTTTGCACTAATCCACTTGTTTGAAAACAAACACTTCAAAAAATCAAATCCGAAAAAATTTGAATTGCAAATTATTTTGACTAGTTCATCAAAATTCGTCTCTGCATCTCTACTCTCCATAATAATCTCTAGCTAGTTTTCACACTGTAACTTGATCAAAAACAAGTGCACCATTTAACTCTCGAATCTCCCTGTATCAACATTTACTTTTACTTATGTTTTATTTGAACTTTTTTTTAACTTTTTAAATCCTTGAAGGTGTTTTGCATTTAAAATGTTTAGCAAATAGAGCTGTATTAGCTGTTTAAAGCGAGTTTTAGTTAACATTTTCACTTGCAGAGCGTCATCAGGGTCAGCACTCCTCTCTTGCAGCACATAGGCAATAGATAGGCATCTATAACGTCGAATTCTATTGACAACTCTTTATCAAAATTTTAATTGAAGTGGCACACTACAGTACAGTTCACAGTAGCATACAGCATTCAAAAAGTGCAAACATGCACCATAGTGCAAGATGTCTGCCATGCCAGAAATAATCCATTTTGCTTCTTACCTGCAGTAAAGACAATCATATCTGCAGTAAAGACAATCATACCTGGTACCTGCAGTAAAGACAATCATACTTGCAGTAAAGACAATCATACCTGCAGTAAAGACAATAATACCCGGTACCTGCAGTAAAGGCAATCATACCTGCAGTAAAGACAATCATACCTGCAGTAAAGACAATAATACCCGGTACCTGCAGTAAAGGCAATCATACCTGCAGTAAAGACAATCATACCTGCAGTAAAAACAATCATACCTGCAGTAAAGACAATAATACCGGTACCTGCAGTAAAGGCAATCATACCTGCAGTAAAGACAATAATACCCGGTACCTGCAATAAAGACAATCATACCTGCAGTAAAGACAATCATACCCGGTACCTGCAGTAAAGACAATCATACCTGCAGTAAAGACAATCATACCCGGTACCTGCAGTAAAGACAATCATACCTGCAGTAAAGACAATCATACCTGGTACCTGCAGTAAAGACAATCATACCTGCAGTAAAGACAATCATACCCAGTACCTGCAATAAAGACAATCATACCTGCAGTAAAGACAATAATACCCGGTACCTGCAATAAAGACAATCATACCTGCAGTAAAGACAATAATACCTGGTACCTGCAATAAAGACAATCATACCTGCAGTAAAGACAATCATACCCGGTACCTGCAGTAAAGACAATCATACCTGCAGTAAAGACAATCATACCTGCAGTAAAGACAATCATACCTGCAGTAAAGACAATCATACCTGGTACCTGCAGTAAAGACAATCATACCTGCAGTAAAGACAATCATACCCGGTACCTGCAATAAAGACAATCATACCTGCAGTAAAGACAATAATACCTGGTACCTGCAATAAAGACAATCATACCTGCAGTAAAGACAATCATACCCGGTACCTGCAGTAAAGACAATCATACCTGCAGTAAAGACAATCATACCCAGTAAAAAACAGTACAAGGGCAGAATGCAATTAAAATGTCAAATTAATACCTTGAAGGAGCAATATTTCATTTTGAATTTCTACAACCAAAATTACTTTAAACCTTCCTCCTCAATTTTCTTCTAAATTAGCCTCATAATTTTTCTGAAAATTGGCTTCATTTTTTAACCAAAAACTAATTTTTCACTCAAATCTATATTTTTTGACATAAGCCATAAATTGTAAGATTGGCCAGTGATATACAGATAGTTATAATAATCCTATTTTTCATGTCAAACTTCTCCTTAGTTCAGAATTCATCCTTCATCTTTATGGAATGATACATTTCTGTGATAAACAAGATGAAATAGATTTAGATTGAAAACTAGAAAACTGGTGATAAGTTTTTCAAATTTTGTTAAGTAATTTATAGTTTATAATTATAGACAAAAGTAGAAGGGTTGATATGAGCCCATTAGCAAGTTATCTACAGCGTAAGCACAAATAAGGCTCAATATTAAATAACAGAACACAATTTTATGGTATTCTACTCCTTAGTTTTATTACGACGTTTCAACAATCTACATTGTCATCTTCAGGTGTGAGCAAAGAGCACAAAATATTATAAGCCAAATATTGAATTTGTTTCAAAATTCACGAATTTTCAATGCTTGACTAATGATTACTCATCCATTATTCATTAATAACAGTCAGTTGTAATCAAATTTTGCATTTGACCGAAATTGAAAGGCAAACATTGGCAAACATATTCTTGATGTTGGGTAGAGGCTTTCCATTCTCAAAACATTTAATAATCTAGGTAAAATATACATCAATGCCTTATCATTGCTTAGAGTACAAATGGTAAAAAGAACAAATTATGCTCCAAAAAATTCTTGTTCAATATATAGGGCTATCAACCAGACACTTTTTCCACTTCAATCCTGGATTTAACAATATTTGGTAAAATATACTTCAGGTCAAAATGGTGTCTTGATCAAAAATTATTTTCAGACCCAGTCTGGAATTCAACAATCTATCTCAGGTGAAATATTCTTCGGGGTCAGCATAGTATCTTTGATCTAAAACTCAATCCCTAGTGTTGGTAAAAATGATAAGTATATAATATGGTAACATATTTAACAGGTCTGTTTAGAATAAAGATACAAATTGATTAGAAAAACAAGTTGTGATGAAAATTAACATATTCTACAGCTGTTCACAAAGACATGAGATATTCATTAAAATATATCACATACCATAACAAAATATTTCCACTGTTAAATATTGCCCAATATATCTATCAATTGTAGGGGGATATGGAAAATTTTTCTAAAATACATCATATATTATGCAGGTTCAAACTCCATATACATAGAGATTCTTTCATATGGGTGAAAATTCAAACCCAATAAGAAACCAAGACATGAGATATTCATATGAAATATATCATGTTATATACAGGTTAAAAAATCAATATAGGCCTCCATATAGATTCTTTCATATGGGTGAAAATTCAAACCGAAAAAGAAGAAAATTTCATAAATCTTTTCAGTTCCAACACATAGGGGTTTACAGATTGTATCAAGAAGGCCAGATTTAACTTGAAATGTTAAGTTTTTGACAATATTGTGAACAGACACAAGTCCCTGTGGTGTGGTTTATCTCAGTCAGGTGTCTATCCAGTTATCATATATTACTTTTAATGAGATATTTATAACATTAAGGTGCAAATCCCCCAGTCTCCTGCTGTCTGGACTTGTCCTATTTTTTAAGCCCTTACACTGTACAATGATTCAGTTGATTTGATATGAAGGATTGTGGTCAGTAGGCAAGAGTTATATATGTAGAGTTGATATCCATTTAGGGGATGATTGGGAAATGATACTACCTCTCTCCCCATCTATATGTTTATTAGCATATTTTCAAACTATAAACTGGAGGTTTTAGTATTTTTGTGCATCTTTTCTGTTCATAATCCAAGATGAAGGGTTTAAGCAAATATAAGTTTTAAGACATTATTTCTAATGCATGGTTCAGATAGTATAACTACTTTACACATAAAATATAACTCAACAATATAAGTAAAGTTTCTGAAACAAATCACAGTTTATGATAATCTATCATCCAAAATATCACATGATTTCAAATGTATAACATGTCCACAAGAATAGTGTCTGCATAGAAATATATTGTCAAACGAAAAAAGTCCTGCATTCAGACTTACTCCACCCATTCAATCATCTCTGCTTAAAGCTAACCACAATCAAAACCCCACTATAAAACACTTTTCCTCAAATTAGTCAAAACTTCTTACTGGAGTCTCATTCTTCTCTCAAGTCTCCTTCAAACATCAAACTTTTATTCTTGTCAATCTCAAACCCTCTCCATCATTATTTTACAATTCTTTGTCGATTTTTCACCCACCATCGTGTGGTTAATGATCAAACATGATAAATATGAGGAGGTTTGGTAGTAGAATAATTATATTCGGCTAATTTTCAGCTTATTCATAAATAATTAGAAAAATAGGATAATTTTGTCACAATAAACTATGAATTCTTGAAGGAAAAAACATTATCCTGTTAAAAACAAGAATATTTTGCTGTGGTATACTGCTCTCAATATGGCCCTCAATTTACTATAGTTGACCAAGCAATTTTTACCAGTCTCACCATTAATTTTAAATGGCCCTATATAGATCATAAGTATTTGCCATGGCATTTGCTGCTCATTATAATACACATAGCCATGCATAATGTTATTGGCCATGCATTAGCCATGGCATATGACCCTCAGTATACCACACTTGGCCATGAGAGACGACATATGATCCCGCAAATGCCATATTTGGCCATGCATTTGTCAATAATATAATACAATCTATACAACACTTGGCCATGCATTTGCCATGGTATATCACCCTCAGTATACCACACTTGGCCATGATATACTACATACAACTCCACATATACTACACTTGGCCATGAGATACGATATATGACCCCCAATATACCATACTTATCTCCAAGGTAAACAGTGGATCTAAGTACTTAGAGCATCATTGAAAATGTTTGCTTTATTACAGTAAACACTATTTCACTGCGATACTCCTTGAAACGACGGCAAACACTAGTTTACCTTGATACTTCTTCAAACTTTATATAAATACAGTTAACAATACGGAGTAGCGTACCTATAGTAGTTCTTTTTACACCCAGACAAGTTCGTTAAACAAGTTCGTTAAAAAAGATAAAAGACTAACGAGATTTCAGGTAAAATCCTGGTATTGTTCTGAGCCAAAACATGAGATCAATCAAGACTTTTACCTGAATCTTCGTGACAAGACTGTACAAGTCATACGACACCATGTTTTTTTACCGTTTGATGCGGTGACAGTTTTCACGATAATGTGAGATTCTTTACAAATCATTGTTCACTTCATGTTTCTGCTGATTCATAAATTGTCGAACAACAACAATTTCCAGAAATTTGATAAATTATAAAAATAAATTTTGAGAATATATTTGTTGGAACATCTGTTATGTTTAGGGTAATTAATTCAACATCAGGGCTAGGGGTTGAAAAAGGGTTGAACACAGAGGCTTTCTTTATTCAAATTTAATGTGACATGTCATTTTCAAACTGAAGAGAACATATGCTATTTTGGCATCACTGTGGTTCATCTATTCAAATTAATTTATTTCTAAACTACCAGTACTGTCATCTAAATTATTCTTTCCCTTTTTCCCCTCTAGGAGGGCTAATTTGTTATTATATATCAATAAATCCTACATACTATCGTACTGTTATATTCGCAGTGATCCTTTTTACCCTCCAAGTAGGCTTGTCTTTTAATGCTTGTATCTAACGGGACCAATTTCTCAGTACTTAGATAAACAACAAATTGGAGTTTTTGCACTCAATTGTGCCAATGTCATGTATTCAATATTCAAATTTGTGTGCCTTTAAAAGTCATCATTATAACTTTTTTCTAAAATTCTTAACTTTTTCACAAGTTATATTTTTCTGCCAAGCTTCTGACATCTGGACTATGATATCTAATAATATTGACATGAAAAACATAAAAATCTTTAAACATGCACCAACTAAATATACTGTGTTTTTCTTTAAATCCTGCCAAATATCACTTAACACCTCCACACCGGTTTTCTTCATGTTTGTTTCTTGGCAAAACAGATTTGGGGATTCCTCAAGTTTTTGAGTACATTAGGAGCTCTATTGGAATGAAACAAATGCAGAGCAATGGCCATTAATGTGTCATCGAGAGTGGAAATCTCTAGAATTAAAATGTCTACTAGCAATCAGACGCAGTTGAATAATGAAATGCAAAATTTCTTTTCATTCTTAAAAAACGAAGAAAACAAATTGTTATATTTCATTGTGCATTTACAACTCCTGATGCCTTATGTAATTTTAAATACCACTGAAAGATTTAAAACTTCCTTTCCGAAAAAAACACGCCATTCTGCATTAACTTTTAAAGAGTAAATACCAACTGTATGGTAAACTATGCAACTTGAAACGTTAGTCTCCAAACATTTTCACAGATTTGAAACAAAAACATCAGTCAATCTCAAGGACAATTTTAGAAACTGTAATGTGCAGTTACAGAACAAATTTAACTTTTTAACTGTCTAAAAGCCAAACCATGTATGTTTTAAACTTTGTTAAGTGACAATTAAAAACTATAAACTTTACTTCAAGTAAATAAACAGGTGTGGAAAAACTTTTAAAATCAGTGATTGGTGAAAAAAATTTCTTTTAAATGTAAACTAACATCTACTTGACTTAACCAAAGAAACTTTAAAATGGTTA